TTCCTAAGCTCTTTAGTGTTGAAGCTTTCCAAAAGTTTCCAAAAGTCGGTGCGCACTTTCTTTATAACATTCCTTATTCGAAAGTATTGAAAAACAAAAAAATCATTCAAGCAAAGGGAGTAGTCCAGCAAGCAGCTTTCTGACATTATTTAGGGGGGCCCCTAGAATAATGTCTAGAGATTTGAGGCTTTAAATCGTTATTCCTTTTCTTTGCCTTTTGATTTTCTTTAATTACCATTGAAATTGCAGGTCTTTGGATTTAGATTTCCATTGAAATTTAAAAAGTTAGTTCTATTTGCATTGATTCATTCCCTTTTATTGTAATTAATATGTCAGATGTCTTTTGGAGATTTCCATTGAGATGTGATGCTTTTGGAGGTCTTTGGATTTAGATTTCCATTAAAATATTGAGAATTCCATTTCAACTTTATTGATTTCCTTTTACTTTAGTATTCCAAATTTGAGATTTCATTGATTCCCTTTTAATTTAATATTGCCAGAGAAGGCCAAGAAGATTTTAATAAGGATTCTTTTCATTTTGGTCCTTTGATTAGTTTTCTAGTAGATTATATTGGAGGCCCTGGTTGTTGAGGGGGGGGGGGCGGGGTGGGAGTTGATTAATCAAGAGTCAACATTACAATGCAAGAGCAAAGCAATAGCTTGCAGCAAAACAACACTGACTGGCTCCTAACTTAGTCCTAGTTTGGACCTGCCACACGTTACTTGCGACTGTGAAGAGACCAAGCAAATTAGACTGTTTGGAAACATATTGGAGCCTAGCCCAAACAGGCTGCGGAGGAGCTCGAGGAAAAGTACGGAATATCGGCCACTGTGGCTGATGCTCGCCAAGTACCTAAATGACTTGGTTGAAGAGCACTTGACGATCAAGCTCACTTGTCTTGTTTTTTGACTGTCCCCAAACACCAGGTTGGGTGAAACCTCTGGACAAGAAGCTTGTTGGTTGGCTTGCAGCAGACCATCGCGCTGTCATCACGATCGAGGTTCCCGATGCTTTTTGATCTTTTTGTGTCCGCCCTTGAAAGTAGTGCCAAATGGATTGCGAAGGAAAATGCTATTGGAGGCTTTGCTGCCCAGGTGCAGCAGGCTGCATGTGGCAGGACTTGCTGCTACTGCTACCGTTGCCATATTTTTTGCGGGCGCAGGTCCTTCTAGATGAAGGATATCTCGATGGCCTTGGCAAAACGCCAATAGCCTTGCGAAGCATGGTCCTTCCAGTGCACCTCTTGGAATGTGTTGATGTGTTGCACAAGGGCAGCAATTCGGAATTGCACATTGACGGGCCTTGGTCTTCAGGATAGGTGGATCGATCACAACACTCCTGAGCTTCAGTACGCCGGGATCTCATTTGTATGCGCAAAGAGCACTAGACTACTAGACTATTTCTATCGCTTCCGATTCCACATTTGAGTGCCAGCACCAAGGATGATGCGAAGCTCAACGCACAGCACATAATTGACAAGGTATGGCAAAATCAGAGACCCTGCATTGGTGATTTTGTAATTACCCTAATACATCAAGTTTCCCAAAAATCTAGAAACCAAATCATTAGTCAGTAGTCCGAGCGCTTCTTCGAGAGGCTGCCGCCTTCAGGGCGCCGGGGGGACCTCCTTGAAGAAGCGCGAGCTATCCTACATCCATAGGATTCCATAGGTAGTAGCTACCAGTAGTTGTACGGTTACGCCATTAAAATATGTGGAGGGTGGACGGGCGGCCCAGGGTTAATCCTCCTGGAGGTAGTGTATATATAATTTCTATTCTGTCCGTATGTTTGGGGGAAATGTACAGTTCCTTCATCATTCACAACAAAAAAAAGCAGCTGGATGGCCAAAGCGCCAAAGCCTCCATCCCACACCCCTCCACAAAGCGCAAACAAAATGCCCACTAGGAAAACAAAGAAGCAGCAGGATTGCCAAAGCGCCAAAGCCCCCACATAGCCCCACATGGTGGTAACCATTCATGTAGCCACACCCCTCCACCCCCTCCACTAAGCCCGCCATATCCACATAACCCCACCAGGCTTTCACGCAGTCACCAACTTGCGCCCGCCAAAAAACTTGCCGAAGCCAAAGCCTATACATGGCCTCCGCATAAGGCAACCAAGGCCTCCACGGAAGCTCCAATCCCCCAAACTCTCCTCCACGCAGACAAACTAAGGCCTCCATATATAGCTCAACTAAGCCCCGCACGCCCAACCCAAACCCTCCATATTGTAAGGCCCTCCCAGCCAAGCCCTTTGCATCACCATTCAGCCAAGGCATCCGTCACAAGGGATAAGCTATAAGGTTTCCACGTGCACTAACTAAGCTCATGAAACCCTCCATGGAAGGCCCTCCCGCCAAAGGCCTCCACGTAAGGCCAGCCAAGGCCCACGTAAGTTCTAAGGTAAAGCTCTCATTTAAGCCCATGATACCCCGCCAAAGGCCAGCCAAGCCTCCTTACGTTCCCTAGACCCCCCATTCGTGGACCCAGCTAGGCCCTACATGGAGCCCCTTACGTGGACCTAGCTAGGTGGACCCTCTTATAACAACATGCCCTGCTTGCGTTCTTCACGTGGACCCTTCTTAGCTAGACTACGTAGACCCCCTTACATGGACCCTTTCGGACCCTACCTAGGTGGACTCCTTTCCTGGACGTCCCTGTGCATGGACCACGCGTGGACCCTCCATACGTGGAGCCCCTTCCGTGGTCTCTCTTACGTGGACCCTACCTAGCTCCTTACGTGGGCCCTCCTTACATGGATCCCCTGTATGTGGACCTCCTTACGTGGACCCTCCCTATACGGGCTCCTCCCTCCTTATAGTACAGGCCCACCATACGTGGACCCACCTTACGTAGACCCTCTTGGGAAGAAGACTCCGTCGAGCTTGACTCTAGTCCGATTTTGAGAAATGACTTAGGAAGTGCTTTTCCGCATGTATTTTCCGCATGTTTTAATGGGTGGGCGGCCCCGGCAGATCCTTCACGGAGGTACACTAAAATACCTGTTCGGCCTTTATCTAACCCACATATTACATATTTTATTGTAGTTAACCGTAGTATCTCTTGTCCTTTTGTAGGTACTAGCTACCTCTTCTACTAGCTACCTACCTACCTCAACTAGCAGCCTACCCCTCCTAAAAATAAAGCTTAGAAACCATCGAGTCGATATGGTGTGCTCACGGCACTTGCCAGGCTCTGGCAGTTCTGGATCGAGTTGGCGTCAAGGCACCTGTGTTAATAGTAGCTTCTAGCTACTCCTAGCGATGCACTTGCTACTAGTAGCGATGCTCTTGTTACTAGATAAACCCTTGTTACCAGTTTGACAAGGTCCTTCTCAAAACTTAGCCAGCGACATATTTGAGTTGTTCATGCTGTTTCGTTGGCATTGAAATCTATGGACTGAGGTCAAGACACCTGTGCGCGGATAGTGTCAATTGACAGAGCCGACCACAAGTGTTTGCAAGAGTTGTTTTAACTTTTCCGAGAGCGGCCTAGATCGGCCAGTGGTTGTCAGTTTGGTGTCATTATGTTTGATTCACATAATGTATTTAACACAGACCCTGAAATCGTTACTGACCGTTACCAAGCTTTTAAGTAAGCTGAGTGCAGCAGCACGAGTTTTCACAATGATCATCACCTCCCACTGTCGGGCAAATGTGCCCGATGTGCTGTCCTGCCATACTGCCGTGGACATGTTGGTGAATCTCTGCAAAAAGGTGAGAATGAGTCCCCTGTGGAGCTTTGAGAAGCAGCACGTTTGTTCCATGATTTGGATGCCTGGCAAGGCACCAACAATTTCGAGATGTCATGCTTGCCTCTTGGAACATTGGTTGACAGTTCAAGGGTTCACAGTAATATATTCTCTTCTCGGTCCTCTCCTCCACAATTTGTGCAATGTTTTTCCTATCCTGGGTTCTTCTCCAATTAAAATATAGCACCTCGTTCCAACAGCTGCACGAAGTGAACCACATGTCTTCAAGTGAAGCCGTACCCCCAATTTTGTATATAGTTCTACCCTGTACTTTTTGTTGCCAGCAGATTAGGATTCTTGATTAATCCAACTATTGCCATTGCCTTTGTTCAATGATGACCCTAGTTGGAGATGAGAAACCTATGTGTTTGGAATGGAACATATCATCGGATCTTCGGTCCTGCGGGATTGACAATCGCCATGACAAGCGATAGCCATAGCCATGGCCACACAGATACAGAAAGACACCATTTGCTTGCAACAGGAACGACACAGGCTTAGGTTCCTTTCTGAGACTCTTATGTACAGTACTGTAGATGTCGTGTGGTAATTAAAGCGGTGTGTGTGTGCCAATCGTGTTTTGCCGCAGTGTTTTTTGAAACAGCACCCCGTGATTGCGTCCTTAGGGCGGCAAGGCTCCTCATGTTTTCTCAAATTCAAAATTCATGAGACATCATTGTGTCGTAACTGTTTGAGGCGCATGCTCTCTTTTCTCCGAGTTACGCCCCCCAGAGGGGCCACATCCAGGCAGCTCCGGCACAGTAACAGGCTTCAAAGCCCTGCAACACGCGAGTTCTGCAGGTCTTCCACAGCGCTTTCTGGAGATCGTGTGCGCTCCTAAGACGGTGTGTGTGTGTGTGTCTCTGTGTGCCTGCGAATGTTTACTAACTCATCACTGCAGTGCATTTTGGGACTGTTGGCTGCACTGTGGCACTGTGGGCGTGCATATTTTTGGAACTTATTTTATCTTGCTTTGGCAGTGTTTTACTTTGCTGATCTTTTCTGTGTGTTTTGGCTTTTTGTTGTGGTTTTGCTGTTTGTTGTTTAAGTTCTCTGCCTTCTAGCCTTTCGGCTTTGAGCTTTCCTGTGTTGTTAATCTTTGCTTCTTTGCATCCTTGCTTCTTTTGTTTTTGGTGCTAGCTTCTTTCGCTCACTGGCTGGCTTGCTTGCTTGCTCGCCCTGTTAGACCTCGCAAGTGAAGCACGAGGAAGGCAGGGAGTGTGCAAGCCAACATCCCGAAAGCAAGCAAGGAAGGAAGGAACGAAGGAAGGAAGGAAGGAGCTTTCGAAGTACCAGCAAGGAATCAACACTGGCTGCCCAAAGTGCTGCTCATAGCCGTGCTACAAAAAACTAGCTGAACGGGGAACACGGGACAACCAAAATGTTGTCGATAGCAAAGGAATGCAAAGGATATGGTGTGATGTCCGAAAGCTCAGCAAGTACCACCGGAAAGGTTTACACAATTTTCCACGAAACACACAACCTTTTGCAAGGTGAGCGTGGGGAACACAAAATGGTGCTAGCAGCAGAAGTTGACGATGTGATGTTCAACAGGGCCAAAAATACAGTGCCAGCGAAACGGTTTCCACAAACCACCTAACATATTGTAAGTATAGCAAGTGGCACCAGGTGCCCATTTGATCCCAATTGCCAAAATGCTGGGTAAAATACTTAGTAGCGAAAAGAACCTAACGGCCGAACATGACCGAAAGGTGATTGAAAATAACGAAACAATTCTAAACAACTTTGCCAACCTAAACAATCACTCTCAATGGTGTTTGCAGCCAAATGATTCGTGAAACACAAGGTCTTCCTGCATTCTGCCAGGTTCCCTTGAGCAGGGGCGTCGACTTCGGTCATGACAGGCAGAACACTTCTCATTTGATGGTTAACGAATACATTGAGGTGGCAAGACTTTGTCCAAACTTGAGGGAGACAACCACATCAAGAAGTGCTACAGCTGCAGCTGCTGTCCTTGCGGGCTTCGCAGCGAGAAAGAGCAGGCTTGCTGCGAGTATTCTTGGCAGTGGGCAAACTGATGCAAGCAACTATATACCGTATATACAGTACTATAGTGAACAAAACCGTTTTGAATGCTTGGAGATTTGAGGTCCGGAAACCCTCGCCACTTGGGACTAAGATTGGTCCCTGGAGTGCAAGGCTCGCACGCGGAGCCTAGGATGAAGTTGCACACTTGCATACATTTGCTTCAACGAAATGATTGTATGTTCTTCAAACGCGAGGTGGGTCAGCTCGAGCACATTCGGTGTCGAGAAAGGACAGACACCTGCTTGAATTTATGTAATGTTCACATTGTGAAGTCTTGAAGAGGCATCTTCTGACAGCAAGATCCGAGTTCGTTTTGCTCCAAGTCCAACCGGAGTGTGCGCCCAGAATGCCCGATGACTTTGCCCTTGTGAGATTGACGGCTGTCAAACCCTTTTGCTTGTTAGTTGTGCTCAGAATAATGAGTTGTGACTGTGTTGCAGCAGTTTTTAGAAGGAACCACTCTTGGCACGGAATCTAGATGCGCACATGGGCCCATAAAGTTGGATGGAACCAAACCAGCACCTGCCCATGACATATCGACAACCTGCAGAATATCAGCGTAATGAAATGGTTACTTTAAGAGATCAATGCCTTTTTGATGTGTTCATTGTGGATATTTGTTCAATGCTCAAATCACACAATGCAACCGCGCCAGCACGTGCGTGCAGTCCCGTCATTTATGCCATGGTGCTGCCCGGGGCACTGCAATTGAACGTAGGCCACAAAGACTGTGTGGGCTCATATCATATCAGCGTTTGTCTAGCAATAACATGCATAGTTATGGGTCATTCGAAACCCTAGCTGTTTAGTCCAACGCTTTAATTCTTTTTTTTTTGATATTTGCCTGTTTATACTTGCATATTGCTTCACTAATTATAACTGTAACTGCATAAAGTATACTAAACTAGAAATAGAGATAAAAACAAGTCCAATCCAGGACTCAGGACTAATAGTCAGTGTCAATGTGTCAGTGTCAATTAATAGATGTAAGTGTCATGTCAGTGTCATTTTAATTTGTCAATGTCAATGTCAGGTAAACTACTGTTAAACTTGGGTCAGTGTCAATAAGTTTCCAACCATTGTCATTGTCTGTAATGTGTCATTGTCACGCCGATCAAAGTGATGAGAGTATTCTTCACTAAGTCAGTCAAACTTGAACAATAGAAGTATTTGATTCTGGCTTACGATCTCATCACAAATTTACGTTTCACCCTTTAAGTTTCACAAGCGTCGCCTTCAGCAGAGGAGCCGGGGGGGCTCAGTAGTGAACTGCAGCTGCATGACTCTCTGACACTGTCACTGACACATTTGTTGTAAACCTAAATAATTCCAAAGACCCTAAGGTTTGAAGACTTCTGGAAAATTAATTCACTTATTGAATGGTGCCTGGGTAACTTTAACTGCCTTTGAGCTTCTGGATTCTATATGATTCATGATTGCCGACTAAATTAAATGTTCATGCTTACTATGTTTGACTCACTGAGGCCAGGCCAATCTCCTGAAGGTCCAGATTCAACCATAAGGCACGGACCAAGCTGACTGGGCTTTATGGGCTATAAAACTTTGAGCCAAGCTGACTGGGATGCTGTGTCATCCAGAAGCCAATTGGTTTGACTTGGATTGAAATTATTGTTTTGTGACCTCCTGAGCTGTCTTTTCCAGAGCCCCTTTGATCCAGGGGCTTACCGGACTCTCACTTGGGCCCTTTCAACTGACACCATTTCTAGACTTCCAGATCTTGTCAATGTCTAGCTACTTGCATTTAAACCTTTCCGGACATTTCCGGACTTAAGGTCTGCTTCCGGTGAAATCCTTTCTGGATAGCCCTATGACTCAATGCCTATTTCCGGACTTTTCCGGACTAGGGTCCCAGTCAGCTTAGGCTTGGATTTTGTATGAACGATACCCTCGCCAGAGACCTTTGTGAACCTGGACTGGTTTAGTCTTCTTTCCGGACTTTTCCGGACTGGCCACTCATTATTCTCTGGATTGAGGTTTGTGAGTTACTTGGATTGAGATTTGCTTCAACCAATCAAAGCTTTTCTGAATTTTTACTTGTTTAAAAATCATAAAACTTTAGTCACAGTCAGTCAGCCATTAGATGATTGATCCCGGGACAAGTTCATGTCCTCAACCAGATTTCGGCTGACCAGTGTCCTTCCAAGCCGGCAACTCCATCGAAGGTTCAGCCGACGACTGGCTAGCACCAGCTAGCTGCAATCCTCGAGCGCCGCATCGCATGAAAATCTTCATTTGTAGGGGAGGGGAACTGCTGGTTCAACGGATCCCTGGAACACCTGTTGGACACTCATCCATTTTGGTTTAGCTCCTCGGTGGGAAGCCCCTGGGACACCTGATCTGATAGAATTTTTGGGGAAGCATTTGTGCTTTCATCATCAACCCCGGGACTAATGATTAATGAGACCGAATGAGACCTCCCAGACTCCCAGGACTTCCTGTTGATTGTTTGTCTTTGCTTGCAGGCCAAAAGCGCATCACATGCTGCCTTCCACCCAGCCTAGGCGCATTTTGAAGAGTGCTTGTTTGCAAAGACTTAGATTGAAGAGCGCTTTGGAAGATCTTTCCATTTTTATTAGAATCATGAGTGAGTCTTGTCATTGTCAGTCAGTGTCATTGATTGCACAAGCACACTGTTTACTGTCACTTATCCGAAAAAGATGAGTGGTTCATTGATGCATCCATCGGCATTGATTTCGATGGGTCTCAACCAAGCTGTTAGTGATTTCACATGTGCAAATACAAACATATTTTTAAAAAAGGGTTCAAAGAAACGTTTTGAGATATGGTTTAAAAAGCTGGGTGAGTCTGCATTCCTCGCCTTTGCTGGCAGACCATCATTCTGCCTTTTTGCCAAGTGCCCAGCATTGACAAGTATGTCTTGGAGCAATTTTATAGAAAGGAAATAGATGCTGTGTTGCCGGATTCAGTGAGAGCAGTGCCGTAGATGGCTCTTGCAGTACGCTGCCAGGCATGGAGGCAGAGTAATGTCACGCTTGGCGCGCAGTTTCTGCTTTGCAGGCTTGGGGCAGCTGAGTCTGTCATGCTGTTGCAATGCTTTTTGTCTTGTGGCTTGGCCACAGTCGATGCGTAAAACCGAAAGGAGCTAGCTTTACATGACACCAATACGGCCTCAGATGCGGCCAATACAACCTGGTGGCTCTAGCAGTCGGAAGCAGGCAGGTAGCCATAGGGTGTGAAGCCTGGAGAAAAAGGTATGGCGACCTCATCCAACGCGATGGATTTTGCCGTTGAGGTGATGCAGGGCTTGGAGACGGAGGAGGTTGAGGCTGTCACGGAGACGATCAACGCTGTGACACTGGAAGGCGGCAGTGAAGAAGCCGCGGCTGTGGAGCTGGGAGGCAGCGCTGAGGAGGCCAACCCGCTTCTGAGGATGATGGAGGAGAAGGGAGGGCCTGATCACATCGCGTGTGGGTCATGCGGGAAGTTCAATAGCCACAGGCGCATGATCCGTTCTGGGCTGATTTGTTCAGAGAGCATGGTTGATGGCGAGATCTTCAAGAAGTTCCTCAAGATCTGTTGCCGGTGCTGGCAGCAAGAGAAGAAGCTGGCAACTGGAACATGTGAGTTGGAGGAGGCCTGCAAGGATGTTCTGGAGTTCAACTCAAAGATGCAGACTGAGCGGTCGGACTGCTACAAGAGAGCCAAGGAGGCGGCGGCCAAGAGCCAGGGCAGTGTGCGGGAACAGAGGAAATTGCTGAAGCAGTACTGCCAGAGCTTCATCCAAGCAGTACATGACTGAGGTACAAGGTGGTGCGCAACACGATGCTTGGTGGGACGCAGCGCTTCCGGAACCCCAATGCTTGGATGGTGGTTGGCATTGGATCCTTGCCACCATTACTACTTTCTTTGTCAGTCTTTTTGTTCACGACTTTGTCATTGTCATTGTCATATTGTTTCATTCAATGCTAACTCAGGACACGAGCTTTCGCAGCTGCCAGATGAGTGATAGTGATGGTGATGAGTATAAAATATGTGCGTCCGTGTGTTTGCGCAGTCACTGTCACTGTTCTTGTTCACTGTTTGCTTTGGTTGTTTGTCAATGTCCATTGTTCATTGGTCATGTCATTGATATTCATTGACTTGATTCAATTGATCTCCAGGACTTGGATGATTTTTCTGCCTTTGTTGACTCCTCAGTGTCAGAGCTTTTTTCTGCAGTGTTTTCTTGTTTGATGCTCAACTCCCAGGTCTGGGTCACTTTGTGAGCCTGCCCGCATTTAGCCCCGTAGCCATTTGTCATTGTCCTTGTTGATTGTCATTGTCCTGTCATTGTCACAGAAATTCTTATATATATATAATAAATATATTTACCTATTTTACCTACCATACTGGCTCAAAGTAAAAAAATATCGCTTTTTTTTCAGGTTCAACTAAGCAGCTAGGAAACTACAAAAACAGGAGGACTTGTTTTGCTTCCGAACTGATGTGGCTAGGAAGCAGAGCAGGCAAAGCAGGCTACCTCCTTTGAGGACGTTTGGCTTTGAAATTGAGCAACAATGTCACACACAGTAAGCAAGCGAAGCAAGTGAGCCCTTATGAGCTCTTCAGGAGTTATCGTGCATGCAGTCTGAGCTTTCGTCAGTGCCCCATGGTGTAGCTGTCAAAAGTTGCAGCAATAACCAGACATTGAGTTTCCAACACCTAAAGTACACTTAAATGGATCTCTCAGTACTTGAGAAGTACTTGAGCGTTTGCGTTCTCCTTTAATTTGTGGGTTGCAAAACTCTTCAGGCTCAAGCTCAGTCTCCGGTTCAAACTTCGGCGTCCGCTCTGGACGCTTCTGGGAACGAATCTTCGTCCCGCAACCGCGAACCTTCGATTTGCGGGGTGATCTCAATGTATCCATATATTTACCTAGCAATTGCACCACTTCTACTCCCAGTCTCTGGGTTAGAGGTAAGACAGCTTCGGCCAGCGCATCAAGCACTGGAGCAGCAGTTCGCAGAGTACGTCCACAGATACCAGAAAGAATACGTCAAAGGAACTGAGGAGTACCATCGCCGCCTGGCCCACTACAGCCGGTCTGCTGCTGAGGTAGAAAGATTGAATCAGCGCCCTGGCCGCTTGTGGACGGCTGGAACAGGGCCTTTAGCAGATCGCAGTGAAGAAGAGCTTCAGTCTATGAGAGGCTGGTTTGGCTTTGCCCGAAGAGGACACTTTACATCCGCGTTGACTCAGGTGACCTGGTCGTGTAGAAAGATATTGGAACATGTTGAACTGTTGCATGATGTTGCATGCATACCCTATCCGTGCAGTCAAACTACGCACAATAAGAGAATGATCAGGATTGCTGAACAAGCGAGGGTGTTTAGTTTCTGAGAAGCATTTGCGGTTGTAAGAAACGCGAAACAAACAAGCGTCTGAGGTGAGCTCTGATCCTGCCGACACTCCAGAGGAATTCTTGAATTGGACAAGCCTGCGGTCCCTTGCAGCTGTACGCGATCAGGGAGGATGTGGCTCTTGTTGGGCAGTGACAGCTTCCACAGTGCTGGACAGCCATGCTGAAATCTACAAGTCCACACAGAGAAGCTTCTCAGCTCAAGAGCTTGTCTCTTGTGTCCCCAATGTCAAGAAATGTGGTGGCACCGGAAAATGCGGAGGTGCTACAGTAGAACTGGCTTTTCAGTACGCAATGGAACATCCAGTGCAAACAGCAGCAGACATGCCCTATGAGGGATCAGACGGCACGTGTGAAAAGCATCCACCATCTTTGATGCAGCTGTCAAAAAGCGCAGATTTTGACGTGGCTGCGGTGGGCTTTCATGCAGCAAATTCGGATGCTCCTGGGATGAAGTACATGAGTGGATGGGAGCGGCTGCCGGAAAATGCATACTCACCGCTTCTTCTTGCAATCTATGAAAGGGGCCCAGTTGCAGTCTCTGTGGATGCCTCGAAATGGAGTTCATATGAATCTGGAATTTTCGACTCTTGTGATGAAGATAATATCATCAACCATGCCGTTACTCTGGTGGGATACGGTAAAGACAAGAAGTTGAATGCAAATTTCTACTTGATTCAGAACTCTTGGGGGCCATCCTGGGGTGAAGATGGACAAATACGCTTGCTGCGTAGGGATGAGGACGACAAGTATTGCGGCATTGACCGCCAGCCACAGGAAGGAACTGGATGTGAAGGTGGCCCTACAGAAGTTAGGGTATGCGGCATGTGTGGCATCCTCTATGACAATGCTGTCCCACACTTTCGACACCCACGAGCCAACTGAAGCCAACTGAGGTGACGTTTAGTGGGCTGGCTTGGATTTGTCCATCTTTGATCATGCTGCTGTTTTGAGACTTGGTCAAGTTTCTCCAACTCTTGCTGACTTTGAAGCTAAGTCTTGTACAGTGCCATGTGCGCACTTCTGCATATCGCTCGATAAGCGTGTGCCAAAAAGCTGCAACTGCAATGCGTCCTCTCTAACCATCCCTTACTGCAACGGAATTAAGTTCTTGAGTGTGTCCGGGAGCTCAGGCGGGGTCCTGAGACCGAGGCCAGGCTTGTTTTTTTTTCATTTTTTTGCACTATGCAGCTATGCATTTTGTACTGTAATGTCTTGCACTGTAATGTCTATATCGGATATGTGTTTCACTTTCGTAGTTGTGATGACGGAAGCTGCCATCGCACCCAGGCCTTCGAACTAGAACCTTTTGGTGATTTGGGCGACTTTGATTATGAAGAGGAAGGATTTGAAGAAGTTGAGGATGGCTTTGATGAAACTCATGAAGTGATTATTCCTGATGGCTTAAAAGAAGGCGACGCTTTCATCGCGGTTGTCGGGGATGAAGAGTTTCGGGTGACGGTCCCCGCAGGCTTCAAGCCCGGTGACTCCTTGCTGCTGGATGTTGATCCTCCAAGTGACCCAAGTGACTTCCCAAGCGACTCCAAGGAAGCACCCAGAGGACTCCCCAGCTCAGACTCCAAAGACCAGGACTCCAAGGCACACTCCAAGCCAGCCAAATTGAAGCCAAAGAGGCAAGTGAGCTTTACTGAGCAAGAACCTTCTGTGATGCTTTTCAGTCCTGATCTTGGTGGGCTTAGTTTGGATGCTGAAAGCCCGCCAGATTTTGGGGCCGCTGACTTTCTGGACCTAATTATTCCAGACCATGCATCTGCTGGGGATGTCTTGGAAGTTCAATCTGACTCCGGCCAAACCATCGAAGTTGTCGTGCCTGATGGTGCAGAAGCTGGAATGACCCTCACTGTGATGAGCCCAACAGGCAAACATGCGGGATTTGAAGAGCTTAGCTTTACGGATCAATCTCCTCAAGAAGAGCAGGATGAATCTCTGCACAAGCGAAGCCAGCAGGCTGAGCAAATTGAAGTAGTTATACCAGACCATGCATCTGCCGGAGATGTGTTGGAAGTTCAATCTGAGTCCGGGCAGACCATCGAAGTTGTGGTGCCTGAAGGCGCAGAAGCTGGAATGACGCTCACAGTAGAGAGTCCCGCTAGCAAAGACGGCAAGATGGACAAATTTCCAGACAATCCGGCCTTTGTAGCTGAAGCTCCTGAGAATGCGCATGATGAGTCATTGGACACGCAGAACCAGAAGACTGAAAGAATCAACATAATAGTTGCTCACGGTGATGCTTGTGCAGAAACTGTCTTGGAAGTTGAATCTCACTCTGGGAACAAAGATGAAGCTGTAGTGCCAGATGGTGCAGAAGCCCGAGTGACGCTCACAGTGGAGAGTCCTACTAACAAAGACGGCAAGATGGACAGATTTCCAGACGATCCTGCCTTTGTGGCTGAATCTCCTGAGAAGGCGCATGATGAGTCTTT